TTAAGCTACAGCTTCGGTTTGCATTTTTTCCTTTAATTATTTTGTGTATTTATTAGTCGAATATCTAAATATTTGAGTTTGTGTATGTAGAAATATTTTTTAGTAAACAAAAAAAAATGAATGAAAAATAAAGCGTGTATTTGAACTCTTCTAATTTACAGGGTGACTTGGTCCTAGAAATATATAGCTTTTCAGCTAATTAAATTCGGAAAAAGATTTGATTTATAAATAATTATATGGAGGTGTAAATCTCGAAGTGACAAATAATTATATATTTCAGAATAAAATCTAATCAAAAATAATAATTATATAAAAATAAAGATCTCATATAGCGATCTGGATCTGAAGGTAGTAGATGGACATGTGCATTGTACATACGTTTTCAAACGGCTGATTTGACGCCACCCGACACAGAATGCAAAACCCCACAACCGACCCACCTTTCAATTATCATGTTGCACTGCTTTTGTGCTCTCTTTTTCGGGACCTTCTCATTGGTCTTCCCAATGGCCTCGGCCTTCTTCTCAGCAATAATGGCCATGAATTAGAGCATTAGGTAAAAAAAAAAAAACAAATCGAGCACTGGACAAACTCTATTTGCTCGTTTAACACCTTTGAATGGGTCTAAAAGCGCAACGCATTGGTGATTCGATCTCAACAAAAGCTCCATGCATGAAATAGTACCCGAATTCTTCCAAATTTGTTAATGGTCGCTGGCTGGCCTGGGTTATGAGTAAATGCACGGGATAAGTTAGATAAATTTATTAATGGATCGGATTTAAATTAAATTAACATGAAAAATTAACACCTAATTTCAATTTCATGAAAAACTAACGCCCAATTTAACATCAAATCTGAAATTGAGACCAAAAATTGTGTGCTCAACTATGTGAATGTGTGTGCGCGCCGTCTTTTATATTAGAATTATATTATTTGTTGAATGAGTGATTGGCGCTGTTCCACGTAGCAGCAATACTTTTTATGTTTTGTTCTTGAAGCATGGAATCAGCTGGATTCAATTGACCTCTTTGTTCTGATCAAAAAAAAATTGACCCCTTTGTACAGAGGCGTGGTTCTTGGAGAGAGATGTGGGCAGTGAAAGTGATATGATGGATGGAACAGGTTGTCTTACTTAATATCGGGACTTACTAATTACTATACCTTATTAATAATTCAGCCAAATAATTTTGACGAAAGGTTTATGGGTTTTTGCTTGTTGACTACTTTTTCCTCAATAAAATATTTATAAGAAGTATTATGAATAGTAACAAAAATAATGTGATGTTTAAAGTTTAGGGGTACCAATGATCACATAAAAAATTATGGTAATAATCATTGGATTTTACTTGTCCGGGATACCATAGAAACCATGTAAATTACTTTTCATTTTTCTTAAAAGTATAATCATTGGATTTTGAAGGAATCTTTTCTTTTCTTATCTTTTTTTTATTACTAACATTATTGCTTAGAATTGCCTAAATGTGTGACGTCCATGACTCAAAGCCATCACCAAGCTTTAGTAACCCAAGTAGGATAGAACCATAATCTAATTCTTTTTTTTCCTAATTGACAAGAATTAAAATAATACATACATAAAAATCAATTTAAAAAGTTTGAAAACCAATAAATATGGTGTATATATATATATATATATATAAGCAAAAAAAAGACTAATTAGCACTGTTTGTAAAAAACAAAAAAAAGGGATAATTTTCATTTTATAATTGAAAATCTAGCAATCATTCATTGGCCACTCAACAAGTTACATAATCAATTTTTCACAATCTTCAAAATTTTAATTTATCCTCAATTATTTTCACTGTGATATTAAAATAGAAAAACCAATAAACAAAAGTGTTGGGCCTAAGCATTTTTTATTTGTTTTTTTTTGGGATGGGGAGGAGGATTTAAATTTTTGATCTCAAGAATGTAAAACCTTCACAAGGTAAGAAATATTAACTTTAAAGTCAATAAGCAACACTTCAAAAATAAAGACAACATCTCACAAAAGATAAAATTCATATGAAAATCAATTGTAAGTACTTTTAAGTTTGAACTAGAATCAATTTAAAAAAAAAATAACATAATAAAAGAGGCTAAACAACTAAAGTAAGGAAGACATAGGGTGAGCTCAATGGGATATGTATGCATATTATCTAAAATACATGTGTACACCCCCCATACATATATTTTTTCAAAGAAACTGTGCGTGGGCCTTGGGGCCCCTATATAGCTCTGCTAGTGAACCCAAGTACTGGAAGCTTGTTTGCAGCAAGAAAAATGTTATTGAGATAAAACTGTTAACAGAGAAGTAAAAGGAAGATTCGACACTAACCGACATGGAATCCAAAACCCCACAACCGACCCACCTTTCAATGATCATGTTGCAGGTGCACTGCTTTTGTGCTCTCTTTTTCTGGACTTCCGAATGGCCTTGGCCTTTTTCACAGCAACAATGGCCATTAGGGCATTAGGTCCTTTTATCCAAAAATAAAAATCGAGCATTGGACAAAAACTATTTGCTCATGTAACACCTTTGAATGGTTCTAAAATAATATTAGGAATTAAAAATCTAACATAATTTATTAATTTAATGATATAATTTTATTTGAATCATTGAATCAACATCAAATTTCAATATTTAATAGGGTCCACAATCAATCAAAAAGTCATAATAAATTAGGTAACTAAATTAAGTCAATAAATAAAGTTCAAATAGCATTGTTTGGTCTAAAATGGCAGACCCCTCGGTGATTCTAAACGAAAGCTCTGTGCATAATATAATATCCAAATTTGTTAAAGGTCACTAGTAAGCCAGTTTATAAGTAAATGCACGGGGGTAGGCTTGCTAATAGATTGAATTTAAATTGAATTTTGATCGATCCAAATCCAAATTTCATTTCAAAACTCTTGAAAAATTTAATTCGGAAATTTGATCCAAATAACTCACAAAAGGTTAATGTTAGCAAATTAAAGTTTAATTTCTACTAAAATTTATTAAATAATTATTTAATTTTATTACATATTTATTTCAAGTATATCGGAACATGAATATTAATTCATATCCAACTATCTTGTCTTTTGGTCTAGGATTCATGGGCATTTATCAGGACGCACAATAGTTTGACCTTAATGAGCCTCCATTGAAATTTTTGTTGTATTAAATATTTCATAATATATACATTTCAAGCTAGATTGGTATTATATATGATCAAAAATGATGAAAGGACCCTAGAATTGATTTTAGATTTTTTTGAATGCAAGGATGATGTAGCCCTTTTTATGTTAATACTGTTGGAGTTATATTCTTGTTTATTAAGGTTTTTTCAGTGTTTTTTTATTTTTTATTCTTACTATGACTTTTATGTTTTGCCTAGATTAGAGGATTGTCTAGATTTTTTTATACTATTGTTTGGCTATATATACAAAGCTCTATACTTAGTTTGTGCCCCTTTCACGCACAGATATCTCAAGTATACCGTACATTAATATCCATTTGCAAACATTATACCCATTCACTCAATCTATTTTTAATGAAAAAAATATTGTTTTTCCATTTTTTTTTGTCAATTTATTTCTCAAAAAATGGAAAGAATGAATTTTAAATAAATAATTAAATTTAAAATGTATTCTATAAACTTGTTACTCTAGGCCTCAAATTGTAACTGGCCAGATGCTACTACACAAATGTGATAATTTTTCTTTGTATTTTGACAAAATATGATATTAGAGCTCAACGCCAGAGAGAGAGAGAGAGAGAGAGAGAGAGAGATGTAAATACATACATACATATATCAAATTTTCATACAAACAGTTTTGGCATTGGTCCCATTTTAATTTTTCAGCGATCAAATTATAGACATGTTTGCTGATGAATTGGAACATTTAGGGGTTTTGAGTAGGGCTAATAATCAAGCCGAGCCTAAAATGAACTAAGCTCGGGCAGAGCCTAAAACGAACCAAGCCCGAATAACTTGACTATTTTACATATAAATGAGCCGAATTTTTTAGTTTTGTTTTTTCTAAATAAGCTAAAAAATTTGTTCAATGTTGGCTCGTTTAGTACATGAGCCGAGCTCGATGAGTCCTACCTAAGCCGAACCCGAACCAAATCTGTATAGTTTGACTCAATTATTAGCCCGAGTTTTGAGTTCGATCAAGGCTAGTTGTGACTGTAGTTTGTTCTGTAGTGAATTCAAGATGAACTTTAAAAGCTTCTGTATATTCCCTTTCATACTGAGGAGGAATTATTAATTTATTATACTAATTAATTTGGGATTGTTCATTCTGTCCTTTTATGTCAAGCAGTATTACATAATAGGAATCTATACAAACTACAGAAATGCTCCCACTAATCATAGTCTAGTATGCTCAACCAAAAAAAACAGATTTTAATGAATTGCATCATTCAAAACAATCTCTGCATATCGTATAATTACATTCACGACATTCCAATAAGGTGTTATATTTAGAAGGTTTACCACATCTGCAACACGCGAACTCTTTCATCTTTCGGACAAATGTGAGACGGTGTGAGTGATGATCAACTTGTACGGTGCCCCCAAACTTGGTTTTTGACCAATTGTCATAAATGCATCTAGCATGAAAAGATTGGTCGCAATGATGACAATAGTACATCCAATACTGTGGATTTATTTCTTCCTCGCAAAATTCACAATGAAATTCGTCGGGATGATCATTAGGAGGACGATAGGTCAGGATAAAGGGATGCTGATCCCACCTGTGCTTGACAGTTTTTGATAACAAAGCACAATTGTAGTCCAGATTGAAGTTACAAGTATCACATCTGAATATGAACCTTGAGGACTCGTGATTACATGACTTGCAAACATTATGTGACTTGCAAACATGATGTGAACCTTCAGTTTGAACTAGGGGGTGCTTGTGAGATTCATGTTTGATAGTGCTAGGTAGAAAAGCACATTTGATATCAACATAGAATTCACAAGTTTTACACCAGTAGAATAATCCATTGCTATTCATGTTGCAACAGTCACATTTGATGAGCGAATAGATGCTAGTGAATCTCCCAAGCTTAAGCAAGTGTTCAGGGTGACTTGGGTGTTGAACCTCCTCTGGTAAGTGGGCACAACCTAAGTGCACAAAGTAATTGCATTGACGACAGCCGTAAAATGGAAGGGAGATAGGTTGCACACAAGCATTACATAATATTTTATCATCCTTCACCTCATTGATATTTTGCACATCGAAAAGAAGTAACGGATGCTCATGGCTCCAATTATTAATCTCTGTTTCTTTCTCAAACTCGTTAATGTTGATATCTTTAACAAAATATCTAGCCAGATCTACAAATTCATCATTCACCGGTAAATTTACCGGATTAGACTCAAGAAATTCGTCATCTTTATTACTGCTACTTATTTCAGCACCTCTGAAATCACAAAATTAGAAGCAAAAGTATTAGTTGACAAGAATTAAAAGCATTGGAAGGATTTTGTTAAGGGGGATGGAGAGGCAGAGAGAAGGGAGGGGAGAGAACACAAACAAGACAAAATGATTAAACTCACCTTGACGACCCTGCCTCTGATGTTGCGCACTTTACATGGACAAAATATCTACAGGGGCCACAACAGTAAACTGAAGAAGCTACCCAAAGGAACTCGTCACATTTGTTGCAATACTGTTTAAAATTGGTAATATTATATAGATATTGCTTGGTTAAGCTGAGAGGATGATGGTGATCATTAACCTTGATGGTGTAAGGTAGTGAGGCGCAACTTTTATGTATCCAAAATTGACAGCTGTGACATAGATAAGATGAGTCTTTATCTTCCATGCAACAAATATCACAAGTGAACAAGGATGGCCTAAGTAGGACGCCTAATGGGTGCTGGTGAATTGCAAGTTTAATCACGCGCTCCTCCAAGAAACACGGCATGCAGATATCAAAGTCACACTTGTAACATCTATAGGTGAACCGATCCCAACTTTGTTTACAAACATCACATATTGAACTTTTTGCTGCATCAAGGGTTAAAAGGTGTTCGAGGTGTATGGGATCTTTAATCTCCCGGTTAAGTTTTGCACAACTCTTATGTAGGAAGTAATCACACTGCTTACAACAATACGCATGGTCTAAGATTGGTTTTTTACACCCATAGCACATAACATCCGTACCTTTGTTCTTTTGCACATCCTTGAAATTCAGTGGATGGTCATGGCTGAAATGTTGAAGCTCCATCTTCTTTTGTGTGTGTGTGTGAGAGAGAGAGAGAGAGAGAGAGAGAGATGGTAGCAGGTTTTGGATGTTGCGCAACTTTTGTGGATCCAAAATTGACAGTTGTGACATAGATAAGATGAGTCTTTATCTTCCATGTAACGGTTTTGAAAGTTGCAACAAGAAGATATTAATAACCGAAGGATCCTTTTTACTTTTTTATTTTCCTGGATTTCCCATCAGCCCATCCAATCTAAAAAGATTGCTGGTGGCCTTGTATATACATATGCTAAAATAAATTAATGACGTAGAATAATTTATAATTATTAAACTCACCTCAAAACTTCAACTCTGCTTATTGTGGTCTAATATCTATATGTCGCAATATTGTATAAAATTGGTTAAATTATAGAAGTACTACCTAATGAAAGTGAGAGGATAATGGTGGTTGCTAATCTTGTTGGTGTTAGGTAATAAAGTATAATTTATTGTGAGTTTCAGGATTAAATGAAATTCTATTTTCAACCTAACAATTACTCCTATATTCCTTTGCCTCTGTTGCCGTGTAGCAAAAAAGACTTTGGATACAAACTTGTTTCCCCATCAATGTTTTTTTATTCACTGATTTCCTATAGATATATATCTTTCTTTCTTTTTTTTTTGGCAAGTTCAGGAATGTTGTTTAACAGGAAAATTACCTAAATGAACAAAGGAGGAACCTCCCTAGAAAACATACCGTGGGCACGAAGCTAAGTCATCTAGAAGCTCCGCCATGCCTTTGGCTTTAGTTTCTCAAAATGCCAAGATTCTCCTAACTTTTTCCACCATGTGAATTGATTTTACCTAAATGAACAAAGGAGGAACCTCTCGAGAAAGCCTACCTTGGGCACGAAGCAAAGGAGGAACCTCTCGAGAAAGCCTACCGTAGGCATGAAGCTAAGTCATCTAGAAGCTCTACCATGCCTTTGGCCTAAGTTTCTTGATTGCTAAGATTCCCCCAATATTTTCTTGATTGAGTAAAAACACGCACCCCTAAGAGTAAGTGTCACTCTTTAATAGTGAATTTCTCATCCTCTTCAATAAGATGAGTCACTATTATCTTCGTGTTTTCATTATCCTGCCCTCAATTCATTACTCACAACAACACATTCTTAAACTTGTTTTTCAGTCTTTTACACTATCAGGTTTCACAATTTTGTTTAGAATTGCCTAAATGTATGACCTCCATGACTCAAAGCCATCACCAAGCTTTAGTAACCGAAGTAGGGTAGAACCATAATCTAATTCTTTTTTCTCCTAATTGACAATAAGTAAAATAATACATATATAAAAATCTATTTAAAAAGTTTGAAAACCAATAAATATAGTATATATATAAGCAAAGAAATAAATATAGTATATATAAGCAAACCAATAAATAGGGCTTGTTTTCATTTGATAATTAAAAAGCTATCAATCATTCATTGAACACCCAACAAGTTATATAATCGAATTTTCACAATCTTCAATTTTTTAATCTATTCTCAAATATTTTCACTAAGATATTAAAATAGAAAAACCAACAAACAAAAATGTTAGGCCTAAGCAAAGTACTAACTTTAAAGCCAACAAGCAATACTCGAAAAATCGAGACGACATCTCACAGAAGATAAAATTCATTTGTAAGCCAATTGTAAGTACTTTTACGTTTGAATTAAAATCAATTTAAAAAAATTATCACATAATAAAAGAGACTAAACAGTGAGCCCACCTTATCCATGTTATACCCATGTTTGGATACATATTTTGGGCTTGGAATTATCACCTAAAAATAATATCGGCTCGGATGAATTGTATATTTAATACTAAATACAACCTCTTAAATATTCCCAACTTTTTGGTGGGTTTAAATAGTCTAATTGGGATGTATTTGGTCACACTGCAAGAATAAAGGTCTTTTGTGACAAATTTTTTACGGCGACTGTGTTTGTCGTCACAAAAAACGTATTTGAGACAATTTTTTGTGACGGTTGTGTTTGCCGTCACAAAAAGTGTGTTTGTGTTAATATTTGTGGCAGCTATTTTTTCTATCGTAAATAGTGTCATAAACGCAAAAGAAATTTTTTGTATTTGAGACAACTGTTTTTCTTGTCTCAAATAATATTTTATAAATTCATAAGAATTTTTTATATTTATGGCAGCTACTTTTCCCGTCGTATATAATATTTCATAAAACATTAAAATGTTGTTTTAGATTAAAAAAATATTTTATAGTTCAAAGAAGAAAAACTCTAAAAAAAATTTGTATTGTCCACAATTATATTTTATGTTACAGGTAATATTTTATAAAATTACGTAGTTTAACATTAAAAAGAAATTTCTAGTTCAAAGAAAAAAAATTAAACTCTATAAAATCAAGTTTTTATATTAAAACAAAAGTGTCAAAATATGACACGACCCGTTAACATGACATAAAATTAGTGGGTTTGAGTCTTCCTTAAGCCACCTGTTTAGTAAACGAGTGAACTCGTCATGATACGATTATAAATGAACCAGGTATTGATGAAACCAGTTAGAAGAAGTGTATACGATATAACTCGTTTATATATCATTTACATAATTAGACAAACCTTTCAAAGAAATATTGCGTGGCTCTGTGTTGATATATATTCTAACTTCTTTTAGTTTTTTTATTATATATATGTATATAAATATTATTTCAATATTGTAACAATAATTTTATATTTTTTTTCAGATGTCACTGAGAGAGTAGATGGTTCGGAAATGATGTTCAACTTTTTGCATTAATTTCTTGTACTCATAGATCGTTATCTTTTATAAAAATGCATATTTTACATTTTGTTTAACTCCTGAGATTGTTTATTTTGAATATGAAAATATTGCTATACTTTTGGAAATGTTGATTATATTTACTTTTGTGTTTATCTATATATTAAATTGGATAGTTGTATAGATAGGAATGAGTATTTGTTCTTTGTGAAAGCTTTGTCTTCTTGAGGTCAAGGGTTTAAATCCCCTTCCCCCTTTTCCACCAAAAAAAAAAAGAAAAATTTGTAGAGTATATATATGCACAAATTATATAATATTGGTTACGAACGATCCATAATAATTAAAAAAAAAAATATTTGTTTTTTTTTTGTGGCAGCATCGTTGCCGTCATAAATATATCTTCTATTTTTTACAATAGTCAAATATGGTATTTGATACAACACTTTTGTCGTCGTGATAAAAACAAAAGTGTCGGATTTTTTGTGACAACTTATTTACGATAGGATTTTACCGCCGTAAATACTATTTGAGACAGACCGTTATTGCCGTAAAAAAATTTTGAGACCACACTTATTATGACGAGACAATGCCGCTACAATGTCACCACAAAAAGTATTTGTGACGACAAATAGACTTTTTATGACAGCATTTTACCACCGTAAAAACCCATTTTTCTTGTAGTGTCAGAAGACATTGTTACCTTCAAGTATTTCTAGAATATAAATATTACTCTTTATCTTGAGAGTTTTTTAGTATTTTAATATTTATACCATCATTCACTACTCCATTCAAACAAAATATTTAATAGAATAAATATGAGGTCCACTATTTCTTAATACTTAAACCAAACATGAGATGAGGAAAAATTATCACTATAATTAGTCCAAGGGTCGGATGAATAGATAAGGAATGGACAATATTATAAAATCCCGTCATTCCTAATATTTAAACCAAACACAAGGTGTAAAATACATGTGTACACCCATACATATAATTTTTCAAAGAAATTGTGAGTGGGCTTTGGGGCCCCTATATAGCTCTACTGGTGAACCCATGTACTGGAAACTTGTTTGCAACAAGGAAAATGTTTTTGAGATATAATTTTAATAATTATACTTATTAAAATTAAAAGTTGGCTTAAACTTAATATTAAAACTCATAATTAATTTAATAAATATAACAGATTAAAATTTTAATTAGTTCTTATGCAGCCAGAGTCTTGATTGAGCCACATTTTACATCTATATAATAAAATAGAACTAAATTTAAATCTAAAAGTAAAAATCGGTTGAGATCGTTTCATGATTAAATAAGGCATCATCCGACGGACGTTATCCTAATCCATTTCAAGTTATTTAAGTCTCAAATCATCTCACAATTTTCAATCTGACATACCATATTGATCTCCAAAATTTTTTATGCTATTTGGAAATTTTAATTTTTGAACTCTCCACCACGTACCCTAAATCTACACCTAATCACCAAAATTCGGTCCTCCTCCCCTTTTCTCTCTCTCTCTCTCTCTCTCTCTCTCACACACACACACATAATTCTATGTTCATCTGTCTTCTCTCTTTTTTTGCAGGTAAACTAGTGAAATTAATGATGTGAATGACAAACAACAGAAAGGGAGGATACTGATTTTGAAATATTTGTTCATTACTTAGTTGAAAGAATTATTATTTTGATTTTTGGATGTAAACCAAAGGATTTGTTTGTGTTTTTTTTTTAATTTGGGATTTATCTAGCTAGTTATTGGGTGTTGAATGCTTTTTATTTATTTAATAGTACGTTAGTATACTCTTATGGTTAGATGATCCATAGTTAGATAATACCTCTAAATGTGAAATTAGGGTGTTAAAGGCCGTGGTCATGGAGTCAAAGTATACTCAAATTTAAATTTGGATAAAAATAATCTTGAAAACCTTCTCCAATGTTATACCCAAACTCATACCAAATTAAGGAAGACTCAAACTTTTATTCAAATCACCAATGGTTATATTTTATTATCCTTTAAAGATTCAATAGTCATACTTTATCTTCCTTTAAATTTGGGTTTGTCCGCCTTTAACTTTGAGTTTCTCCATTCAAGTGTTTTATATTAAATCAGTCTTTTTACCTATTTTTTTACTCAAATTTGGGTAAGGATTTCGATCTACATTGGAGATGGTTTAACTATTAAGGTATTACATCATTTTCTCTCTCTCCTTTTTTTTTTGGATAAAAGTTTTAGTTTTTTTTTCTGACATAACATT